GATCTATCTACTCGGCAATTCATTCGGTGACTTCACGGTCGCCAAAGAAGCCCCAAGAAGCATCAAACATTTCCGATGAGATCCATGGAGCAATTCTTAGATAGCAAGCACTAGCTCCCGGTGCGACTTCATAAAAAGCAATCAGAGATAAGATCGAAGAGAATGAAACGCACGTAGTGGTCATTATAGCGGTTCCTTCTGATCCTAGAAAACGTCCGAAAAAACCTGCTACGGAGCTACCGAGAAGGGGCAAAAATACGATAAGTAGATACATAATTTCGAGTGTGATCAGACAACCAGAAATCAGACAATGACAGAGCGGCCTGTGATAGATTGATCGACGTCCGCGACCGTTAGTCACAGGGTGAATTGTAAGCCCCAACTTTAACGAGCATTTTCGGGGACTAGCCCGCTTCCCATTTCCCATTACTCAAGAGGGAAATTGTCCGCCTCCTGCGGAATCGTTTTTTTTAGATTGTACCCAAGCCCGCCTCCACTTTTATATCCCAAGAATCCTTTTTATATATAGAGAGTCGGGGCCCCTCTCTCTGAGATCTTGCTCAACATGCTCCAAAAAAAGGAGTTCCTCCCCGTCCCTTTCCGACGTGCTCCACTCTAGGTGGGTGTCCAGCTCGTCCCGCTTCTCGTCAAAGAAGTCGATAAGGGCTTCCTGAGGATTGGAGGAGGCCTCTTCGGTCAAGGCAGGATTCTCAGAAAGCAGGTTTGAAAAAAAAAGAAAACACGAATGCTTCAGTTCTCGGATCCGGAGATCCCTATTCTCGAACTGAAGTAATCGGTTATACTCTCCTTGAGAGGGAGCTTGCTCCAGGGCCGTTCGAATTTCGGCCCAATAGTCGCCCCTTTGTATTTCGAGTAGGAACGGGCTCGAATGATTCTGCAGGATTTTTATCCTGCCTTTGATAGAGGATTCGAGACTAAGGTTCTGTTGGTACGCTTGGTGAGAAGCTACATCGCGCGTCGCTCTAGCGACCGAAGAATTACCCACGGACGTGCCCTCCATTTCCGTTTCGGAAAAAGGCTCCAATAAGACCCCCGTATCGAACTCCGTCCACGAGGGCGGGCTCGATGGGCCGGAGGACGGCGCCGGAAGAGGAAGCGCTTGCCCACCCCCCACGCACAAAACCAAACCAGAAAAGATAGAAGTAAAATAAAGACTAAAACAGTCAAGCGCATAGATGCGTAGAAAATAGTAAAATAGGGAGATGAAAAAAAGAAGGGGTATATACACAATAAGGACAAGTCTAAACCCCCCCTTTTTTTTCAAGCGGAAACTATAAAGACGAAACAGAAAGATACCTAAAAAAAGAAATATTGCAAAAAGAACAATATTTCCCCCCGTGGTCATCATAGCGGTTTCTTCTGATCCTAGAAAACGATTTAAAAGAAGCCAGAAATAAAAAAGCAGGATCTGTTTTTTCATATTAAAGCGCTTTCTTTTAAAAATGCATCTGGTTCCATCTTTCTTTCGTTAGTTAACCCACCTTTTTCTAAAAGGGATTGTAGTAATTCTGTTTTTACACTATTTGGAATGGCTCTCTCATATTGAGAGATTCTGTCTAGTGGCATTCGATCACAGAATCCATTGACAGCCGCATAAATGACTAGAATTTGTTTTTCAATTGGAAGTGGTGCATATTGTGGTTGTTTCGGTACTTCTGTAAGCCTTGCACCTCTATTGAGTAATGCCTGAGTCGCAGCATCAAGGTCTGACCCAAATTGAGCAAGGGCGGCCACTTCGCGATATTGTGCCAATTCCAGTTTTGAACTACCGCAGACTTGTTTCATAATTTTCAACTGAGCGGCAGACCCGACGCGACTGACAGATAAGCCGACGTTAATAGCGGGTCTAATTCCGCGATAAAAGAGCTCTGTTTCCGAACAGATTTGTCCATCAGTAATGGAGATCACATTGGTTGGAATATAGGCCGATACGTCTCCAGCTTGTGTTTCAATGACGGG